ATTCAGATCTAATGCAGGAAAGGTGTTATTAGAATACACTTAGTGCATGAAATACATAAATTAAACTAGAAAATAACAATTAAATCAGTTCTTACAGTTATTAGAGCTTAGACTCCATTACATCTTCTGCTCAAATTGCATTATAAATGCCTGCCCCCCAACAGAATTAAAATAGAAATTGTAAGCAAAATAAATATCAATGTGTGATACGTTGAAGAGGGAATACTATTTCCTTTAGAGTAATAAAAACAGTGTACTTCAAAAATAGAAAGCTACTTTACACAAAATCAGGACTACTCTCTTTGGTCCATGTTGAATGTTCAAAACTGGTTAAATTATTTGTTTCTTTTAAAAACTGTCAACAGCAAACTTCAAATTATATCGCTACTCATGGTACATACATTAATTTCATAAACTCAGAATTATCCACAAAATGAAAGACAATAATTATTTGGAAGATTTGTTTTCTGCAATATAGCTGGGGTTTTTGAGTCAAAACAAAATTTTTTGACCTGGGGAATAAGCCAGGCCTACCAGAGCAGCGATGAATGTTCCTTAGCTGCCTCCCAAGATGAGAACCAGAAGACCAACCACCTCAAGTGTGTGCATACCAATCCACACAGCCTGGGGAACAAACAGGAGGAACTGAAGCTCCGCGCCCAGTCAGAAAACTATGATATCATAGGAATAACTGAAACATGGTGGGACAACTCCCATGACTGGAAGATCACGATGGGTGGCATCCCCACCTACAAAGAAGGGCTTAAAGGAGTATCGAGGAGATTATAGGCCCATCCATCTTACTTAGTCCCTGGGAAAGTTATGGAACAAATCCTCCGGAGGCTATCACAAGTCAAATAAAGCACACGATTGGGAAAAGCCAGCACAGATTCACCAAGGGCAAATCACGCTTGACAAACCTGATTGCCTTCTATGACAAAGTAAGCCGCTCAGTTGATGTGGGGCAAACAGTGGACATTGTCTACCTGGATTTCTCCAAGGCTTTCAATATGGTTTCCCACAGCCTCCTCCTACAGAAACTGATGCATTACAGTCTATACAAGTGGTCCGTGCAGTGGGTAGGGACCTGGCTGACAGGCTGCACCCACAGGGTGGTGGTAAACATCTCCTTTTCAAACTGGCAACCTGTCACACGTGGGGTCCTCCAGGGGTCAATGCTAGGGCCAACACTGTTTAATGTCTTCATAAGCAATCTGGATGATGGGATCAAGTGTACCCTGACGAAGTTTGCTGATGATACTAAACTCAGTGGGGAAGCAGACACTTCGCAAGGGAGAGCCACCTTGGAGGAAGACCTGGATAGGCTGGAAGAGGGGGCTAACAAGAACCTTATGAAGGTGGCAAAGAAAACCAACAGGATGCTGGGTTGCATCAACAAGGGCATTGCCAGCAGAGATAAAGAAGTCATTATCCCACTCTACTCAGCTCTTGTCAGGCCACACCTGGCCCCACACTGTGTTCAGTTTTGGTCCCTGCTGCGCAAAAAAGATGTGGACATGCTGGAAAGGGTCCAGAGAAGGGCCACAAAGATGATCAAAGGACTGGGAAGCCTGCCATATGAGGAAAGGCTGAAAGAACTGGGTTCGTTCAGCCTCAAGAAAAGAAGGCTTAGGGGAGACCTTATCACCATGTTCCAGCATTTAATGGGTGGCTATAAAGAAGCTAGAGACTCCCTTTTTACATGGAGTCACACAGAGAAGATGAGGGGTAATGGGTACAAGTTACTCCCAGGGAGGTTCCAACTGGACACCCAAGGAAAATTTTTCACATTGAGAACAATTAGCCATTGGAATAATCTCCCTAGGGAAGTAGTGGATTTCCCAACATTGGACACTTAAGATTCAGCTGGATAGCGTGCTGGGCCATCTTGTCTAGACTGTGCTTTTGCCAAGAAAGGTTGGACCAGATGATCATTGAGGTCCCTTCCAACCTGGTATTCTATTATTTTATGACTATCCTGATAAATTGGAAGTGTGTGGGATGTTTAAATCTTTAACAACAGCAGCTTCTAACAAAGCAAGAGAAGCTTCTTCACATTAAATATTATATTCAGTATTCCCCTCCCCCCTAGATTAAATTGCATTGATGTATTATTATTTGTTCTTTACTTGAAATTAATCATTGACAATGCAGAATGTGCCTAGTGATACAATGCAGAGGCAGGCAGAGCTATTTGAAGACAGCACTAAAAGACCTTGTGTGGACATCTGCACAACACTGTATTGTCCAAAGGGAACCAGAGTACCATCAGTGCCATTCACACACAAGATATCTTTGTAGCCTAATAACAAGAGGGGGAAAAAAAAAAAAAAGTTATCTGAAGTAATTTTCTTTTTCTTGGGCAAGTTATTTCAATTGTTAGTGTGTGTAAGGTATAGAACACACCCCAAACCCACCATTCATAAATATATATACACACACACACACACGCATACACTGCACTGACTAGAGCACCTTATGTTTAACAATGCTGTTTCTAATGATGTGGAATGAAATTTCAAAGATTCACAGACATAAGGCCACTTACTTACACTTCCTTTCACTGCTGGAGTTATTATACAGTAAGTTCATGTTATGATCAATGAGTACTTCATAGACAAACTATCTGTCCTCATATATTCCTCACAAGAAATAGTTAAAACAATTTTCTATCAAATACATAACTTTGTCTCTGTTAAGCCACTTAGGCATTATGTTATGTGCCTATTCATCGTTGCCAGGCAATAATGCCATATAAAGCAGAGACAACTAAGCACCTAACAATGTTTTAAAAAATTATTACAATGACCTATGCAATGAAAATTATTTGGAGGAAGGTAACTTAACATCTGCAAAGATGCCTCCTTGTCAAAGGAGGAAAGTTACCATGACAACAACTTCATTGGCACGACAACTAAAATGAAGAATGAAGTTCATCAATAAAAGTTTCGTATATGCATTTCATAAGTTAGTAGTAGTCTGTTATAGTTTAACTCAGTGAAAGACAGCAAGCCATTGATCAGTGGTAGCATAATAGCCTCGTACCATACATGAGAATTCAGATACTCGAGGAAATCTGGAAACTGGGAAGAAGTTTCAGTGTGAGGTAAAGTCATGAGACAATCTAAATTACTGAATACAGTGCTTCATGAAACAGTTGGGTTTGATCCAGACAAGCATTTCCAGGTTGTCAAACAGAAATGTTTTAATGTCTGTGGAGTAAGACATTATAACAAATAACCAAATTAATAACAAAATAGCAAAAATAGAACAAGAATGAAGATATGGTAATTTTTTTTAAAATCCTCTCCCCTAAAAATATATGTAACAAGGCACATTAGGAGAAATATCTTCAATTACTTTATTATTCAATTTGATTTAAATACCTGAAACCAGTTTTCTCATAATTTAAGACAACGGGGAGAAGTTTAAATTGCCTTTTACAGATGTAATAATTTCATTGTCTACTAAAGTGCAGTGATTGTTATGCCAAAAAGTATTATCAGAAAGTAAAAGCCACAAGACAAAAAACCCAAACCATGAAAAATAAATAAGTTTTTGAAGACATTCAAAATAATGAGAATATACGTACTCAGTCACATTTTAAAGCAATTCAAAGCCAAAAATATAACACTGAAAAGGTTTATAAACCTGTATTTTACCTTGTTCCCTGCAAAGCCTGTAACTTTGTACATTTTCCAAACAAGACTTAAATACTTTTAAAGAAAACAAGTAATATTAGCATCCTTAGCACTTTAAAAAAAGTTTATGTGGAGTAAAATAAAGGCAGACAGGTTAATTCATTATAATATTTTGAAGCACTAAGAGATATGACTGGATTCTAAGTTATATTTTAACCATATTTTTAGCTGTGCAGTAGGTGCCGGTGGTTTCAACAGTCCTGAAAGTCTTTTTGACTTCTTAACTGCAAAACCTTTGAGCAATTTACTCTTCCTGTCAGCATTAAAAGCTGACTGCTGAAAAGCATTCAGTTGAGGAAAGATGTAGAAGATTCCTTATTCCTCACACAGAACTTTGTGCCCTTTAAATTTTGCATTTCATAAAGAATTAGTAATTAGACTTAAAATTTCTATTCACTCCAAAACATTCACATTTAAGACATTTCACATGCACAACACTACTGTCCCTTTTAAACTAGACAAGCACAAACTCTACTGAAAGCTAAGTATTTGAAAGTTCCTGGTTTCTTAAATCTTTCCAAAGATACAAAGTGTTTAGAAACAAGGTAGTAAATACATTAGCGCTGCCCCACTTCCAAACTTTTGGAGTATAGTAACTATTTTATTAAAATTAACATTTTTGTTCAATAGAAAACCATTATATAATTTTTTTATCCATTTTCCTTATAGGTGTATTCTCTTGAAGTTTGTTATATTTGTGTGTTCTTTAAAGAATACACGTAGGGTTAAGAGTCCTATCAGTGCTTAAATAAATATAGGGAGCTTATTTGCAACAAGTAGCCTTTCTGGGGCTTTCAGAAGGGCTGGTAACCATCTATATGTTTAAGACAAAATAATTTTAAGGAAAGCATCAATTTAAGATTTGTTTGTGCATACCCAACAGATTGTACTTAGTAACCCTCATACAGTCTCCCTAAGCTATTGATTTCTGACAATCTAAAACCATAAAGAAATGATGTGCTGATCTTCAGAAAACTGCCATGAGCCATTCTACACATAGTGCTAATTACACCAGGGTTGCTAAAGCTGTGGTTCTTAAACCCCATCAAAATTCACCTACACTTTGAAACAGACCTAACAGTTGTTTTGAATGCTGAATAAAAATATTCAGCATTCAAAGAGATTCTGCTCAAAAGTCAGTTATCTTGCTATTTTACCCAAATTCAAGTAGAGTGTATGTTCACAGCATTCTTCTATAATTACAATTTCAAAGCTTACTGAGCCAACAGTTAAGAATTAAACTCCAAGTTTGGCACATACAGCAATTGTCAGAAGCATCCCTTTATTTTATTACAACACTGTTAAGAACAGTGATCCCATCACCAAGCATTAACCTGACTGGCAGCTATTCAAGGTGCTTTATCTCAAATTCGCACACATGGATTGCACCTTGCCTATGACTGAGGCACATAAGGCGCAGTGCAGAAGTACAACAGTTCAGACACTAGAGGACAGTCTGTTCATTTGACCAAACCTCTAGACTTGTAGTGAACGTTCCACATTGCTTCCTTTCTCTTGCACTAGAATTCAAGTTCGTAAGCTGATGAATCCACTTTCAGGAAGCTTCTCTTCAGATTAAAGATTTCTTTAAACTAGTTGATTTTTCCCCCTCCTACATAAGTCTCAAAGTGTTGCAAGAATTCTTGAAAACGAGATAATTAATGTCAGTACTGTCTGTCCAACGCCAAAGACAAGAGCTTCTAAGGGAGCCATATTCTTTCCTGCTACTCTGTAAATTCCAGCTACTGCAGCACCTAAGAATCACAAGAAAAACAATGATCAAATCACAGAAAAAGCCAAGGCTGAAATATGACAAATTATTTACTGTGTCTATGCATCAGCTATTTATAAAACATTACCAAACACTGTATTACTTCATGGCATTACAGAATTATTAGCCTTACTTGTATTTTTGTAGTTATGCAAGTCCTTCAGGAATGATTTTCCCAACTGAACCAGATTAACTTTTCCAACATCAGTTTGATTTAAGAAAATTGAATCTTGCTGTTTCCTTGTAGACATCTTAAAATCTTTTTCTATACTTTTGCCTTCTGCTAATTTAAAAAGATAACAAAAAAATCCCCTAAAAATTGACCGTGTCTGAAGTGTGGTTTAATAGTGCTTGTATAGGCAGGGAGAAGGCAAGAACAGTAAAACTGCTAGTGTCTACGAAACAACCGTAAACACACATTTATCAGCTTCATTTAATATTTCAGTTGAATAACCTTGTCATATTGTGTCAGTTCGGTTTTGACTTAAACTACTAAATTGTTAACAATTGTTTAGCAAATCAAGCAAAACATGAAAAAGATCAAAGTACTGCATTGTTATCCACAAGTGTGTATGAGAGGAAATTTCTAATCAATATGATTAGATTTTGAGCTATAACACATTAAAAATTAAGAGACCATTTTTCTTACAGTTTTGTGCAAATTCCTGTTTAAAGTATAACATCAAATGGCCAGGATAAACCAGAAACAAAATACTGCACTGTAAACACAGACAGGTGCTACTAACTCCCTTCTAACTGTCTTTCACATACTGAATTTATCACATGTGTTTGAAGAAAAAAGTCACAGAGCAAACTTATAGGTGTGATATCTTTTTCTCAGGCATTTTCTCCAAGACAAGTCTTTGTATCAATCAGTCAAAATAATAACATGCTAATGATGAATAACATTTTCTGCTCAACCAACTTCTGAGCCTTTTAAGGATACAAAAATGTTAATTCAAAAAAGAAATATAGGCTGTATATGGCTATGTCCATAAGTAAAAAATTTACTCAACCCAAACCTCAAAGGTTCAACTAGAATGAAGCTTTTATTTAATAGTTTCTGAACTAGTATTTTCTATACAGTGTTTGCTTTCCTTGCCTTAAGAACAACCATTAAGTTTATTGTCCTTTATTTCAGAATGAATGAATTTTTCCTGAAGACCAAACCCCAAAATTTAGTGATAGACCTTCAGTATGTATGGTCTCAGATGCTATCTAATCGTAATAAATGCTTTCAGGGATCACAGAGGCTTTTTCAGGCTCAAAGAAAACTGAAAAGCCACCACAGTTTTTTTTAAGTAATAGGAAAGAGTTAAAAAAGAAAATTGGAATTTTCTTGGTTTTGCACAGTTACTAACAGGAATAGTCTGCCGAAATGATCAAAAACCCAATAGTGACATGGAAATACATTAAGTCCCAACAGATTTTTCTGAAAGTACAATGTGTATCTGAATCATCTGACATCTGAAGAAAAGTAACACCTCATTTTTACAAAAATTTTAGGAAGAGTAGAATTCACTAGTAATTCTGGCCATAACAGCATTTGCAAATACAATTAATCAGACTGTTAGGTGAGTAAATTTGGGGGTTTTTTTTTAGTTTTTGTGGTTTTTTTAATTGCTGTTTTTTAAAAAACATATTCTGTAAAGTGTATTTTGTCAGGAATATCTCGCCAGAAGGCTAGCCTTATGGTATTTCACTCAGCTACCTTGCATAAGCTTTTCCATTTGTTCCTTGACTAGCTGCTGTCAAAAACTGAGCAAGATCCTTTAGACTGAGCCCATTAAAATTAAAATTAATTTGGTGATTGAACTCTCAAAGTGAATTCAAATCAGCCAAATTGGGATACCAGAATTTGATGCTATCAGTTAATCAATAACAGTAATTTTTGGTTTCTTGAGAAAACACTGAGATATTCTAGAAAATATCAATAATAAAAAAAATGGTAGTTTGATAATTACACATTTGTACTCATCAAATAACAGTGTACAATACAACCTGTAATGTATAACCCAGCACAACTGGTATAGAGCTAAAGTATACTACAATAGGCTGCCAATGAGAGGAATGAGAATATGTCACCAAACAGGAGTGTGCTGGGGGAGAGGAGGAAGAATAGACTCTTCTGGATGAAATACAGCTAAAATCCTTGCCTCAAACTGCCTGACATTTATCTGTTCTTGGTTGGTTTGGGGGTTTTTTTGGACAGTATCCACTGCTATTTAATACATTTTTTTTATAACTTTTTAAAATAACTGTTAAGTTCCATGCTTTTTCAAAGCCTTGAAACCGAGGCGTCTCCTCCTTTTCTATGTGCTGGTAAAAAGATTCCGGAAGGCCAGAAAGTTTGAAAGATCTAACTGAGCAAAATTAAACTTGCATTATTTAATAATCTATACTGGATTCATTCATCTACACAAATGATGCAGAGGACTGGAAATACAAAATGGAAATGGAAGTCAGTTTGCTATTTCAATTACTTAAGCACTGGACCAGGCATATCCAAACAACAAAATACTTCAACTTGCACCCCAATTTGCAGCACAATTGCTATTAAAAATCCTCTCTAATATTTTATCACCATAATTTGTCTTCAGAAGCTCCCCACAGAGTTTCTTTCAGTATGAAACAGCCCAGTGCATCCAGAAACAAAAATACCTGGAAGTATTTGGCTAACCACTTTGCAATGCTCTGTGCAAAACCTTTGGGAGCAGCATAACAAGTCTACAGTCTAAGCCTAGAGAAATTCTCAGGTGAATTTGCACATGAACAATGCCGCTTACTTATTAAATATTTTGACCTGCAAAGCTGGATGCCAAAAATACAACTGTGTTGCTCCTCTTTTTATGCTTAGATAAAAGACACAGAGCACTTTCATCTGAGAAACACTGAACCTGAAACTTCCCCACCACAGAATACTATAAAAGACTCTGCTTGGATATTCCAGCATCACATTTCCTATCTTCAGTTCTTCCGAAATGCTCATGCACAATTGACCTTGTAACAGGACCACTGCCATTTTAATGATAGGACAAAAATCAGCATAACATGTAATGTAAGGCACTCAAACTGGTTCCATCTCACTTTAGAAAAACAAAAGTAGAGTTATACTGAACTATACTGGGTTAAATAATAGAAATTCTAGGCTGAGATATATATAGTAATTGAAACAAATTTTTGAGGAAAGTCTTAACGAAACTTTTCATGAAATTTGCATTTTTATTTAATCTTGAAAACCAACAGGCAAGAAAGACTTTCAGCAGCAATAAGAAAATCTGTCACAAATTAACCATGAATGTGTCCAAAGCTGAAGTGATACCACTATTCTGATAATTTGGTTAGTACACAGAAAAATGGGAATGAAAGGCAGAAAGGCCTTTCAAGTTAGACCATCTTAACAACACTGAAGATCTTTGGGCAGAAACTACTACTAAGGTTAACATAGGCCCCATTCAATCCATTGATTTTAATGTTGAGAACTGCTGATTGGCATTATTTCAGACAACAAAGCACAAGCTTCTTTCCTGTATAATTCCTGAATAATATTCACTATTTCTCCACACCCCCTGCCAAACAGAAAATTCACCATGCTCTTATTTGCTTGGGAAAGCTACTGTAGTCTCTTTATAAGTTAGATAAACATAGCTGGACATGATAGAGCCAAAGACTGAATAAAGTGTCCTACTGGTCTTATGGCATATATTTCAGTATTGACACAGATAACAGAATTTCTTAGGGAAGATGGAAAAACAGTATCTGATACCACTACCTCTAGATGAAAACAGCTAAGCAGCATTTCCTCAAAATGTTCTTGGCAACATCACTTGTACCATAAATGGACAGGTATAACACTTCTGCACTTTACTACATAGAATACTCCTGCTTTCTGCAACGTTTTCATGACGAGTGTAGGTTTCAGCTATAGCTCTGTGAACCTTTCAGCATGCTGCTTTAACAGAGAAATGGTTAGCATCTTATCTGTGGATACAATGTCAAAGAATAAAAAAGTGTGTAAAAATGGACCTTGAGTGGTAGGCATTAGACTAACACCATAAGAAACTCCGTAACAGATGCCCTTACCAAAGAGCACTTTGCCTAGAACAACAGCACAGCTTAATTTTTTTTTTTTTTTTGGGGGGGGGGGGGGGGGGGGGGGGGGGGGGGGCTTGCGGGAGGACTCGGCCTCTGCTTGTTCACGCAAATA